GAAAAGTAAGACAAACACAATGGACAGTGAGAGGGAACAAAGCGAAACGAGAAGAAAGAAATGTAGATAGAAATAAAGAGGAACGAGATAGATAAGTAAGTGAAGAATGGAAGATAAAGAAATAAGGAAGTAAAGGAGAAATAAATATAAAAATAAAGGAAGGCTCGAAATGATTCCAAGAGACCAGTATAGGAGACCGGCTCGAGGAAGAATGAGCGCTCGGAGTCCGGGCACTGCCTCGAGCGCCCCCACCATCCGCCTGCTCCCACTCACCGACCCTGCGCGACGAACTGCGCGCTCACAATTTTGGGCATCTTCCAGTACTTCTAAATATGCTTGGCCAGACTTTCCGATTTCTAAGTGGTAATATTTTACTTTATTGATTTAATTAATTATTTTAATGAAGAAATAAATATAGAAGAAGAAGAAGGTTGTAAATGGATATAGAAATAAAGAAGTGAGAATAAGATAATAAGAATGAAATGAATATAGCAATGAAGAAGTGAAAAAGTAGAAAAGTAAGGAATAGAGTTATAAAAGTGAAGAAGAAATGAGGAACGAGATAGATAAGTAAGTGAAGAATGGAAGATAAAGAAATAAGGAAGTAAAGGAGAAATAAATATAAAAATAAAGGAAGGCTCGAAATGATTCCAAGAGACCAGTATAGGAGACCGGCTCGAGGAAGAATGAGCGCTCGGAGTCCGGGCACTGCCTCGAGCGCCCCCACCATCCGCCTGCTCCCACTCACCGACCCTGCGCGACGAACTGCGCGCTCACAATTTTGGGCAACTTTCAGTACTTCTGAATATGCTTGACCAGAATTTCCGATTTCTAAGTGTTAATATTTTACTTTGTTGATTTAATTAGATATTTTAATGTTCTAAACACCTAATTTATTAATATATTATTAACATCGTTAAAATACGTAATCAACGAAAATTGAGGTGCTACACGAGTGTTAGCTGAAGCACCGCACTTTTTTAAGAATCTCTTAAAAATATTTCAACAATAGGCTTTTTCAAAGATGGATCCCACTATAAGAATGCTATCTGTCTCGGCTCGTGCTTTTACCACTGTGTGCGCGTTCCATGGGCATAGTTCAGAGTTCTGGAGCTGTTTGAAAGAAGTCAGCAGGCGGTGCTGTTAACAGATAGATTTAGTATTAGAAAATACATCCAGGGGCTATCATTATGTTTTTGGAAAAGTCATAATGGAATGAGCCACCAACTTACTCTATAAGTACCTACCAGAGCTGCAGAAACCTGAAAAATTCAAAACAACAGCCAACTACAGTTTGGATAATAAAAGTACATTACAAATGAAGTAAAATAATAAACAATGTATTGCAACAGAAAGAATGTTGAGATGTAGTGAAATGAACGGGGTCACTATAATACTTATACAAATACTTTTTTTGGTCATTCTCAAGTCTACCAACTAAATGTTAAGCTGCATGAATAATGGCTGATGTAATGATAATGACATTTATTCAAACAAACTTTCAGATATGACTTACATGAATCACATAATTATAGTAGTAGTAGTAGTGTAGTAGTACTAGTAGCAGTAGTAGTAGTAATAGCAATAGCCGATGAGGATAATTGTCCGATTATTTTATTACAACATTTCTTCTGATTACCCAGTGATCGTTTGCTCGAAAGGAAAGGGCGTTAATTAAAAATAAAAGAAAAAGAAAAATAGTGACAATGTACATTGCGCAATAATTCATCACTCATCAACGCGCATCATCGATGGTATCTAATTCCTGCAATAGATAGGACGAATAAAAAAATAGCCACTGTAGTTCAGACTGCAAGGATTCGTATATATTGTCATGACAGGGTGGTGGGTTAAAGGTCGGGGCAAGATAGCAGGGATGGGGTAATGGGATCAGGCAGTGTGGGGTCACGGGAAGGAATCGGGTACTGGGAGGGGGCTGTTGTCCACATTACAAACTCGCATCGATTGGTATTAAGTCTAAGTATTACGCCTAGGCCTATCGATTCGTTGGGTGCCGTGCAAGCCACGAGACTCTCCCGTGAATGAAACCACGAGTAAACCATAATTATAATTATAATTGTAATAATAAAAATTATTATTATTATTATTATTATTATTATTATTATTATTATTATTATTATTATTATTATTATTATTATTATTATTATTATTATTATTATTATTATTATTATTATTATTATTATTATTATTATTATTATTATTATTATTATTATTATTATTATTATTATTATTATTATTATTATTATTATTATTATTATTATTATTATTATTATTATTATTATTATTATTATTATTATTATTATTATTATTATTATACCGAGCGCGAGTAAACCAAGAGTAGATTCAAAGGAGAGGCTGGCAGGATTCGCGGATACAGCCGTTAGACCGCTTATGTTTCTAGTCTTTAGCTTACATAATAATTATGTATTATATTATGTACACGCCTCTGTATGTCCCGCGATAAGGCAAAGTCTAAGAGTGATTGAAGGTCGTAAAATCTATTTATTGCATTCATTGAAAATCATTGGAGCCATTTGATTTAATGAATCCATCACCCTTAAGGACCATTCGTTGTCGCGATAACCACAAAGCAGGACTTCCTTGGATAAGTTCTTACAATTGACTATTGGTTGATATCATGTGCGGTTCTCGTGTATGTATATGATCTATTACGATGTGTTATATATAACAGTTAAAGACGTAGTCGCGAAGTAGTTAGGACGAAGAAAGAGCAATGGAGGCGACGGATATGTGGCTGAGAGTAAGAAAGTCAAGGGAAGTCGGGTGAGGTTTGATAATGATGCAGAAGAAACAGACTCGTCCTAGGATGACGTTCTCCGGGCTGGTAGTCCTTTTGGTTTCTTGGAGAACGCTTATACGGTACAGGATGATTCAACCAATTTGAATTACACATAAGTTTAACGTTTCGGATACCCGTTATCGGTACCCAGCCAAGAGATATCCCTAGCCACGAAATATCATGGAGTTTATTTTCCTCAAAGGTCGCGAAGGTACCGTGACGAGTGGTACTCCTTTCATTTTCCTTTGCTGGCTCTGATGGCGCGACAGATGTCGATCCAAGGATTACCGTACGAGCTGCAGATGTCGCAGACGTTTGAGGAAGACGAGGACGATGGCTGACTAGCAAGATGGCCGGGCGTGCTCGGCGAGGAGGATCCTTTCCTCTTGAGCTTCGCTGAGGTTGTCGAGGTCCTCGTGGTCGTCGCGGCGGTGGATGACGTGACCGTTAGCGCCGAGGGCAAGGTCGGCAATGAGGATGGACCACGGATCCTGTGCGAGGCTGGCAACGTGGCCGAGTTGCAGGACGAATTGCAGGACGAGGTCGAACGGCTCAGCGATGGAAACTTTCCAGCCAGGATCGAGTGGCTCGAGGGTGAAGTCAGGCGCATACACCGCAGAAGGTTGAGTCAATCGTTGAGCAAACCTTGCGAAACGTTGATCAGCTGCTCCTTCAGGATGCGGAATGACGGTCGATCCTCCGGTCCGTGTGCCCAGCACTTTCTCATAACCTGCGATAATTAATGGATTTTCTTTTTGTTATTAATGAACTCGATAGAGGGGTGGATAAGTTCGTGTGATTGATTGTTAATAAAAAGAAAAAAAAAGAGGAAGTGGTCAGCACCTCATAGACTTCCTTGAAGCAGGCTTTTGGTTTATCTAGTATAATTCCACGCTGAACTCTGTCAACGACTTCGGTGTTTTTTAGACGGCCATAAGGCATCTTGCCGCAGGTGAAGACTTCCCACATTAGGACGCCGTACGCCCAGACGTCAGACTTTGAGCTGAACCGCGTATAGTTCAGTACTTCCGGTGGGGCCCACTTTATGGGAAATTTCGTACCGCCGCTGCTAGTGTACTGATCGTCCAGCACGTACCTATTTCCAATATATATAAGTCGGTGCTTGTCGAAATTGTCCAATGTAACATAACTTTTATTTTTCATCTTCAATCACTTCATACCTGGCCAAGCCAAAGTCTGCGACCTTCACTACGTTCTCAGATCCGACAAGGCAGTTGCGTGCAGCTAGATCTCTGTGAATGTAATTGTGCCTCTCCAAGTACGCCATTCCTTTGCAGACCTAAAGTAAGTCCAATTATTTATTACCATAATACAACACAATAATACTGCAATAACTGTCAAAAGTGTATGTTATATTGTGGCGAAAAGTTGTTATCATTCTTTCTTACCTGTATGCACATGTCAAGCAAGAGGCCAACGTTAGAATTGAGTGAAGATTCATGACGTCGGAGGTAGTTCAGAAGAGATCCATGCCGCATATATTCAGTCACTATATATATTGGTCTATCCTTACTGCAAACGCCATAGAGCTGGACTAGGTTTTGATGCTGTAACTTCCTGCAAAAGTTATTCAGAGTCAATTTAGCAAACTGACCAAGATGAGAAACTTAAACGAAACCTTCCGTCAGATTATCATCAGGGTTATGTATACTCACGTCATCACTTTTGCCTCTTCGATAAAATCATCCTCAGACATAGTTCCCTCCTTCATCATTTTAACAGCAACGTCAATGGATCCTCGCCACTTTCCACGACGTACCACGCCAAATTGGCCCGAGCCAAGTTCTTCCAGTAAATGAAGTTCGGCCGGATCGATTTCCCATTTGTCTGCAACAGTGAACAGGATTGTATTAAATTTTTAAAACGATCCTTTCGCTATCACGGCACGACGCTCAATTATTAAACTTCAGACCAACGATTATATCAAGCAGATACAAATGGCCGAATAAACTTACCGTGACTGAGTCCTGCGGTCGGTGGTACAGGACGATCGCAGGGGTTGGTTTTCAGTCTACTTGCCAAACCACCGCTGTTGTGCCTGTGATAATTGACAAGATCCGGAATAGAGTCGCAGCAGTGTTTCTCGGAGAGGTAAAATTCGCCACGTGAATTTTGCTTTATGTGATAATGCTTCACGTGAGGATGCGGTCTGAAATGTGAACCGAGGATTTTAGAAAAATTTTATGTAAATCGATGAAAATTAATTTTATTTAATTTTTTTTTCCTAAATTTATTCTCTTTTCATTATTTTTGTCTACTTCAATTTTTTTAAGGGTACTCACACTTTTGTGTATAGCGAGAGGGTGTAGAGACCCTTTGTTGACGAATTACGAACTACGAAACATCCTTCTTTGTCTTCTTGTTTGAGCAATGACTCCGCACGTTGTCTGGACATGTCGCCAACGTACCATCTGTTAATTAAGGATAATTAATCATTATTGAGATTAAAATATTACTTTTCGATTTTTCAAAAGTGGATTAAACACACGATTTTATTTATGCAGCGTAATGATATTTTTCTTAATAACTCGTGACAGTCTACTGCGATAAATCCAAATTAAACTTTCTTGATATTGTAATATCTCAAGGCACAACTGCCATTTTCATTTGCATTGACATTATAATATAACGAGAAATTAATTTCCTCCTAGATCATGAAATATTGCATTATGCATAAGTGCAACTTGCACCGAGTGCATCTACTTCCTACCGAAGCTAGGTGACGATCATTTACTTTTAATTTACCATTATTCTCTTTTTCTGCTTGCTGTCCGCCAATAAGTATTCCATTGGCATTTTTTTTTTTTTTTCTAAATCAATACATTTTATAAAAATGACATTTCATAAAAATTTCATCTTATCAATCTTCATGCTTATGGCGCTCGAGCGTCGCTCGGAAAATTTTTCATTTATTTTCTCGAAATATTCTTTTTATTGGCCGATTTATAAAGACTCGAGAAAGTGTATCAAATCGACTGTTTATCATTTATCTCCGGCATGTTAACATCGACGATTTATCTCCGGCATGAAATTCAAAATATTCAATATCTTCGCTCGTGCTTTATGGCGTTTCAGCGATCTTGGAAAAACTTCAATATTCCTCGTACACCGTGCGACTACGTTGTATTTTCCATTTCACGTAAGACAGCTCGGTCGGCTTTACCTGAAAGCTCTGTATTGCTTAGAACTTTATGGGTTTCAACAAAAAAAAAAAAAAAAGAAGTTTTTTATATCCCAAAAAATTTAACCCATGAAAATCGTCCCTTTCAAATGCCATTGGTTATTTTGTCGACAAAGAAAAAAATGTCGAATTTTCAAATTTTTTTTTCAATTACAATAAAATTGAAATTTTTTTCTTAGCAACAATTATTGAAAATTACCTATTCGTAAAAAATACGTAATACTACTCACTCATATTTTTGAAGTCCCAGCAGCTCCTTCTCCTTCACGTAATTACTGGGAATGTAGCCGATCGATCTGAAGTCATACGTAAAATCGTCCTCTTCAATAATACGAATTTTATTTTGTCACCTTGTATATAAATTTAACGATTTCACATAAAATAACAGACGATATCGTGCGATAACGTAATAAGATTTTACTCGTACGTATTACGCCCCCAACATTTTTCTACTGAAGTTTCACTTCTTCTCTTTGCCCATTATTTTTTATCATGTCACTTTATCGTGTTATCTTCCAAGGCAATATGCTGCTTGACTATCTTGTAAATTCCTCCACAGTCCTTATTACAAAGGACAGTCGGTAGAGTCTTCGACGATATAACATGGACGTTATATGAAAATAGATGAAACATTTATTTATCATATTTATATACCCGGTGTTCCACGTCCTTCCGATCTTATTAAATAATCTTTTATTTTCCATCGACTCCCTATTCCTCCGTCATCTTCTCCGTTACTATAAGTGCTTTATATAATATAACCACCAGATATAGCAATATTTAATAAAATTGCCCATACTTCTTCCAGTAAGATGCACTTTCATCTCATCAGCTACCCCTTCGTATTATTTTATCGTCTCTCCCGCTTATTATTATTATAAGATTTTACACATATCGCAAAAGTGATGGATTTTCTCAACAAAAAAAAAAAGTACTTTTATTTCGATACAAAAATTACGAAAATTTATATTTAACATTTTGAGTGCTAAGTGGCACTAGACAATAGTTCTTCATGTAGAGACAAGGGCTGTTACTACGAGGGTGTATATGGACCATATAGCACTGAAAGGGGTTAACGATAAATTAAAAAAAGAAAAAATTATTTCTTACCCATGCTCATCTTTGACTTTCCACCAAAATTCTTGAGAATCGTCCAAGACTTCGTATTCGGCGCCCTGCAAGATATAAATAAAAGGGGGAAAAAAAAAAATTATTTTCAAAATTGTCACAAGCTTGAGTATATTGAATATATTGTAGTGAAAAATGTTCGTTCGCTTGTATTACGTGAAAACAATAAATTTCGCGAGTTATTCTTGCGTTAAGCGAAGAGACTGCCTTACGGTGGGATAAAAATAAAAATTTATCTTTCTTCAGGACCAAGTGCCATAACGAGGAAGTTCGCTGTGGAGATACGAAGGAGAGAGAGAGAGAGAGAGAGAGAGAGAGAGAGAGAGAGAGAGAGAGAGATAGGAGACCAAGGAAGAAACACGGATGAGAAACAACAAGAAGGAAATTTCCAAGCAAAAGTGCAAATTTACTCGGCCGGTTACGAGCAAACTTTGGACCATCAACGACGGAACTTTAGTCGATCAAGAGAAAAAGAATAATTCTACGGCCGGCGGACTGTGTGTCTTGGGGTAAAGGGGGTAGCGATATGAAAAAATGTTGAAAAGTTGAAAAATAGAATTCAGGGTGAAAAAGAAAAAGAATATCTTACCTTTTCAAGAGAGAGGTCGCCGTTCTCGATGGCTCTGAAGGGATAAAGAGCCACGACGACTTTTGTCCTCATCATGAGTTTTTCCTTGAATAAGTGAAAAATAAATGAGTAGAAAAAAAAGGTCATTATTGAATTTTCAAAATTTCCAAAAAATTCTAACCTTTGCCTTAGAGGATGGCGTACCCGGGGCTCCGCCCGGCATTATTGGCGTCGACGGAGTTCCTGAAACAAAAATCAAAAAATTTTTTTTATTTTGAAAATTTTTCTACGGTTCGATCATCGGAGTCGATTCGATCATATATCAATTATTCGTTTATGATTACGCGAAGTTGAAAAAAAAATAGTTTTACGCTCCACGCGGCTAACCGACCGCGGACTATTTATTTTAAGAGAGCATGTTATTTTGGAAAATTAATCCCTAATGGAAAAGGGTCGTAACTATGGGCTAAGTGCACTTTTGGGCATATAACATTGCCTGGTACATATATGCATATATGTATCTACCCAACAGGACAGACTCTGTTCCACGCAACACATGCATTTCGCGATATTAAAGAACCAGGCAAAAATATGAAAAAAAAAGAAGAAATAGTACTAGCCCATTCCAAATTTTTAAAACTTATTTCTATCAAACGTGACTCGCAGTCTTTCATTTTTCTTATTTTTCAAAATCACCCGAAATTCAATTATTTTCACGAATTAAACGCCGAGACAGTTTGTATCTCATTAATTGAATTAATTAATAGAGCCTCGTATGTGCTCTAGGAAAATTTGCATATCTCCCAATGGCAAAGTCCCTGGAGATTTTGACGTCGGGAAGTGGCAATTTCGTAGGCATAAATAACGAAGGTCTTGGGACGTTGCGAATATTATTAATATCCAGTTGCACTTTTGCAATTACATCCAGCCTGCATGTAAATTGAGGGCCGTTCGTTATATCACATGTGAGCAGCGACGTGTAGCGTTCACAAGTGGCTGCATCTGTTACCCTTATCGCACCCCGTGCCAACCCCTTTGACTACCCGACGAATCCTACGGCTGTTATCTAGTTTCTAGATAAGCGTCAATTAATTCGCATTAATGACGTCATCTAATCGCTAATTACCAATTACGCTATATAAAAATCGGATTAATAGATTTAGATTAGACGAATTGATAAAAATAATTGACTGACTTTTCGTTGGTGTGAGAATGAAAATGTGAAGAAAAAAAAAATTTATTTTATTATAATTTTGTAATTTTCGTATCGAATTACATTGCGATACGTGCAATTCGATGGATGACATATGTCGTTGCGTTTGATTGGCAGAAAATTGCATTCTCAAAGGAAGACCGAGATTACAGGTGGAAACAATTTTCATGCGGGTTGAATGGAAATGTTTTTGGGAATAAGCCGTACAATTAACAAAGTGCATTAATGCACGGTGCGGTGGATCGATATGCACTTTAATTAAAATGCATTTGTTGCTTTGCATTGGGGGGGACAAAAAATATGAGGGCGGATGCAAAACGCAAGATCCACTCGATTAATTGAAATATCAAACCATGTTTATTTTGGAAATCTGTGTATGGCTGTATTTGTAAGAAAACATTATTACCGATAAAACGGCAAATTAAATTGACGGATGATCGATTAAAATAATCAAAAACCGAATCAACGTTGATTGCCTATGGAATAATAAATTTTCCACGTTTGCATATTTAAAAAAAAAAATTTGAATTTAATTTTATTTAATACCGTTGCCAACTAAAATTTCACTTAACATTACCGGGATATCAGGTGTACCTACAACGAAAAAAAGAGTTGCCTAACACGTGCAAAATTTTGGCTAATAAATTTATGGGTTACCCAAAAAATTTGCTGGTTTTAATAATTGGGAGGATTTTATACGGATTATATCGATTTTTTTCTTCTCTTTAATATGGCAGCAAGACAAATTTTTATCGGACACGAAAGTTTTTCTAATAAATAGTCAGTCTGTCAAAAAAAAAAAACCCAGCATAAAAGCTGGGACATATTTTATTATTTTTCATACAGACTGCGATACCCATTGTCAGTTTTACACGTAAACCAATCTAACTAAGCGTACCAACTTGGTAAGCAGTCCGTGTGTATTTACCAGCCTCTAACATGTACCATCCAAAAAAAGTGTATGATGAGACTAACGAAAAAAAAAAAAAAAGCAATCCCATCGGGCAGAATCCAGACTTTAACCAAAGATTGCGACTGACAAAAAAAAATGTATTTCACGAAGATCATAAGTTCCCATTAGGCGTTATCGTAGAAGGGAAACGAAAAAACACAAAAGAATCTTATCAGCAAGATAAAAAATGGCGAATTATCCGTGGCGCAAAATTAAAACGAGGTCTCACGGAACAAGGGCGAAATTTCCACTAAGATCCCAGGCAAGCCGCACGAGGAAACCAAAGAAGAAGAGAAAAAAGATAATTGGAAAACAAGACCAAGAGGAAACTTAACCAACCTAGGAAAGAAAAAAAAAAAAGAAAAACTTTTAAAGTCAGTGCAACGAAATGCAATCTAAAAAAAGTCTTATCCGATAAGAAAATCCACCAGAATCTTATACCGATCTTATTTTATCTCATAATAGTAAAAAAAAAAGAAGAAAAAAGAAAAAAAAAAGAATTTCTATAAACAAACAAAATTATCAAAAATATTTCATTTATAATTGTCAATCAACAATAGCGATACGTATGACCGATAATTACCGTGTTGTCATATAATAACACGTCTGTCGTCTAATCAACAAATTAACGCCATTTACGTAGGTTCAATATTTCAATATTAACTGAGCGTTAATTAAACCTTCTTGATAGCCCAATCAATTAGCACCGTTTGTTCTTTGAATAACGATAAAATCATAATTTTGGAGTAAAAAATATTTTAATGCTGTGCGAAAAAAAAAAAGAAAAAGCTATAATACCAGCATGAGGTACTTTGAAAAATTGCCTCCATCCGTTCCGCGAACTTCGAGGTGAAAATTCGCGAAATAAAGGGCTCGGTTGTTATCTCGATTAGCAATGCTGATTAGATTAACTCGAGTTAGTTATCCCGCCCCATCGAGCGGCGTGGCCAGAATTTCATTTGCCAGAATAGCCGCAGCAGCCGGCGAGTCAACGAATGAATGTGAATCCGATGCACCTCCGTTTGAAAATTCTAGTAACTTTTTATATCCGTTACTCAATTCGACTTTTTCACCCGAGAAAATTAGCATCTTCACACCAGCGTATCAGCCGAGTCACGTTATCACTACTTGACTCATTGATATGCACATTGAATTTGAATTGGATGCAAATTTAATTTTCAAAAAATTCAACTCAAAAACATATTTATACAGGGTGTACAAAATGGACCAAATACTATTTTTTCTGGCATACGATTGAAGATTGGGGAGAGGGGGGCAAATAAAATTTTTTTTTTTTTCGAAATTAACTATCAAATTATGTATATGCATTTTTGGCTTTTTATTGAGTCTCAGATAACCATATTCTATTATCCTTGCTAAACGATGTTTTTTTTCTTCAATTTATTTTTAACCCCATTCACCCCTTTGCTCAACCATCGAAATCGGGATACGGGGTTGAACCATGATGATACAGAGTACATGGAAAATACGTAATCTTATTTTGACGTATAAGACTTTTCAAAATATGCGAAAATACTTCGTCGGTGCTGACATTATTAAATTGAAGTAACTTTATGGAAAAGGAATGTAGAGGCCAATAAAAACTACGACACACTGGCTCTTTTGTGAAAATCAATAGGTACACTCGGATATCGAAACTTTATTACTGAAATGGGAAACGACGATTTGAAAAATACACTTTTATATCAACGTTTGTGGGTACAGTCCGTATGGAAATGGAAATATGAGAAAATATATGTAGATTAAATATACGTAGATTGAATTTGAATGTGCAAGTACATATTGGTACGGTAGAAGTTTTCAAGTATATTATTCATTCTCGAATATTACCAAAAAAGAAAAAAAAAGAAGTAAGTGGTGCAGTTACTCAGTTTTTCAATAACGTCCAATCACACTGAATTATATGAGACCAAGGGAATAAGAGAGACACAGGGGTAGCTATCCAGTTCGATCTTGGGGAAAATTATAGCAGACAGAGATATTGTGGAGATTTTTTGTTCGATTAATTTTTACGTGATTCGTAAAATATTTGAGGGCGTTATTTTTATGTGAGGGACAAGATAATAAAAAAAATATCTGTATATCATTACGATTTTTTTTTTGGCTACAAAAATATATCGTCTGTATTATGTCGCATGGGTCTGTGATATCCTGCCAAGCCATTTCTCATTTCACGTGTAAAAATAAGTATACTAATATATTTTCGCGAAAATATATCACGCGAATTTAGTTTTATCGTGTTTTTACAAAAGTCTACAACTGCATACGGTAGAATGCAGGGGAATTAAAATTATCGCTGAATAGAAAGGGAAAAATTTTTCGAACTCGAAAAAAAATTTTTTTAATTTGATAGAACGATATTCGTTGCGTAAAGATTTTTATGGGAAGCAAATAAAATGCTTGATGCATCGTTGGAATTTTATTTATCGCAAAAATTCAATGCCAATTTTTACCATGAAATCCTTCACATTTTTCATTACGTACCAGTGTCAGTTAAACGACTTCCAATAGGAAACGACTCGTCGCAGCAATTTTTAGCGCAATTATTATTCGCGAAATAATAAATGCAAAAATCAAATTCCCACGCATAAAAGTTTCACCTGTTATATTCGAGCGTTTCGTTTGAGCGTGTCATTTTGCGTAATGAAAATAAAAAAATATTTTCGCGAGCAGTGACGTAATGACCCCCTTTTATCCTTCAAAGTTGCAAATTCAAGTGACAAAATACCCAACATCAACATACACGTATATTTCGCACAAGCAGCCACAGTCCAAGTAATTGCAGCCCAGCAAGCGCCTGGAATTGCACTCGTCGATGAAAAGTCGCATTGAAAAATTTTCTTAAAAATGTAAAAAAAAAAAAAAGAGAAAGGATGAACAATACGTGATAATTAAAAAAAAAACCAACCCTTACGAAAAACTCAGTGATTTATTTTCCCTTAATCGTCACGTTGAACGAATTTTTAGATTTAATTAGATGATTAATTGCTGGTCGGCTGGTTTACTTACACATCCGGCATTCGAGTATAACCAGTAGTGGGACTCACCTGAAAAATA